TCAATCGCCTAATCCGCGGTGTACCTTCCATAATGGGGAATACGCTCAACACGTTGATGCAATGGCCGGAACCTGACAAGAACAGAATTAGCTCCACCGCACCTGGCGTTATGCCAGTCACCCATACCGGCCAGCAGTTGAGTACAAAATTAGGCCCAAAGTTAGGCTGAGCTCCATGCTTCCTTCCAACAGGCACATAATGCCCAACTCAGTTTTTGTGCCTGAAGGAGGAAAATGCCTCCTTCTTCGTGTGACATCGTCTTAAGCGGAAGCGCATGTGACGAAGGGAAAGTGGAATAATAAGGCTGAGCGACAGACCTTCACTTTGGCCCTGTGGTCTGCAAGGACTACTGTCAGCCCTCAAATAAACTTTGCTGACTGCATTTCCTCACCCATACTACCCATTCACACTTGCTCAAGTTGCACGCCACAAGCAGAAGGACGTGTGTACTCCGTTGGATGAGAACAAGTCAACGGCATTTGCGAATCGGTGCAATTGTCAGGCAGAGGATATGGAGCAAAGGTGGCCACACCAATGTTAGGGCGAGTGAAATGAGTGGGAACCACTACCTATCGAACATTAAGACTGTTTAGCAAGGACAACAGTTTGCAAAATAAAGTCCAACGCGAAGAAGGAGGTGGAATTAGGGGAAGTTGTCATTAAAATGGTAAATGATGGGCCGAACCGACATATGGAGTTAAGAGGACATTAATGTAAGGAGTGCGACGAGACTAGAGATTGCCAGTCCAGTGATTACAGAAGTCGCAGCGGATCCACTGGTTGCCTCGTCCTCATCTGCCCAAATAAGATATTTCACAGCATGAGTTACGACGACAGCTAAGCCATTAAGTAGAAAAGAGCAAAAACACAGTCGATGAATCCATCCATTAATACAGGTTAACCTACCAAAGCTCTGTGTTGGAATGATTTCGCTGAACGTAGACACTGTCTCTCCCCTTTGCACCACCTTAACAGTCACTGCATAGACGGTGCTGGGTGTTAGTCCGTCAAGAGTGATTCTCCCATCGCCGATGAGTGCGGATTTGGTTACTGCCGATTTGGAGTCAGTGGTTGGGTTTGAGGTGATTGTGATTTCTGCATCTGCCATATTACGCAAGCTGGCCGGATTCCACGTGAAGTCAATTGTTTGAGCTGACGCACTGATCTGATAGAAGGGCTTCGTGTGTTGCTCTTCCTCGGTGCTCGACCCTTCTTCCTCTTGGTCTGTAAGTGCAAGTTGATCTGCTGCTCAAAACATGTGAAATATACACTTTCATTTATGTGTTGAGAGCACGGAACTGGAACAGTGCTTTTGTGCAAGAATGACAATTGATGACTCTACTGACAGGCGTCAACAACAACGA